CCGAGCCCCAGACTTCTGTTCTTTTTCTTCTAGCGCCCTGACTGGCCTGACTGGCCTGACTGGGCGAAGGGAGGAAGGCAGGACGCTGTGTGTGCTGGTGGTTGTTTTGAAGGGATTTTGAGGTTTAAGGGTGACATTTAGCCATTAATCAAACCTATATAACTTTTGAATAAATAGTTCCTTTTCCTTCTCACCAAACTCTGCCATTCAGAGCCACAATTCCAAGGGCGGCGGGCAAAGGACCCACAACCGAGGGGTTCCGGGTGAGGAGGGTGTCGTTGATTCGGTAATAGCATCTGGGCATCGCCCTCCCATGGGTCCTTTTGTTCGGTAACATTAGTAGATTTTTAAACATAGATATCATATAAAGTATCTTTTCTGACCACCATGGGATGAAGTTAGAAATCAACAACAAAACTGGAAAATGCACAAAATGTACATATGTATACCAAATCTTCTTTATCCATTCACTTATCGATAGGCACTTCAGTTGCTTCTTTGTCATGGCACTATAAACACGTCTTTTAACAAACAGTGGATCAAAGAAAAAAATCGCAAGGGATATTAGAAAATACTTAGAGATAAATGAAACAAAATCACAACATACCAAAACTTATGGGATGCAGCAAAAGTGATGCTAGGGAAATTTATAGCTACAAATGATTACATTTTAAAATCTTGGGCAAGGGCAAGGAAAAAAAAGCAAAAATAAATGGGACTACATGAAACTAAAAAGCTTTTGTGCAATGAAGGAAACCATCAACAAAATGAAAAGGCAACCTACTGACTCTAAGAAGGTATTTGCAAGTGATATTGTTGATAAAGGGTTAATATCCAAAATATATAAAGAACTCATATAATGCAACATCAAAAAAACCCAAATAATCTAATTTGAAAATGGGCAGAGGACCTGACTAGACATTATTTGTCTTCAAATAAGACATACAAATGGCCAACAGACATATGAAAAGATCAGCATCACTAATCATCAGGGAAATGCAAATCAAAATCACAATGAGATATCACCTCACACCAACACATAACAAATGTTCATGAGGATATGGAGAAAAGACAACCTTTATTTAGTGTTAGTGGGAATGCAGATAGGTGCAGACAGTATGGAAAACATATGGATACTCCTCAAAAAATTAAAAATAGAATAATCTTATGACCCAGCAATTCCATTTTTGGATATTTATCTGAAAAAAAATGAAACACTAATTCCAAAGGATATCTGCAACCCTCTGTTTATTGCAACACTATTTACAATAGCCATGACAAAGAAGAAACTGAAGTGTCTATTGATAGGTGAATGGATGAAGATTTGAGCCATAAAAAAGTATGAAATTTTGCCATTTGTGACAACATGGAAGGATTTAGAGAGTATTATGCTAAATGAAGTGAGACAGAGAAAGGTAAATATTGTATGATCTCACTTACATGTGGAATCTAAAAAACAAAACACACTCATAGATACAGAGAACAAACTAATGGTTGCCAGAGAGGAGGTGGGTGGGGAATAGATGGAAAAGTTTAAGGGAATAAAAAAGTACAAACTTCCAGTTATATAATAAATGAGTAACAGGAATGTGATGTACAGTGTAAGATATATAGTCAACAATAATGTAAAAACTTTGTATGGTGATAGGTGGTTACTAAACTTATGATGATCATCTTGTAAAGTATATAATGTCAAATCACTATGTTGTATACCTAAAACCAATAAAATAATATATGTCAACTATAAAGAACTAGCAGGGATCTAGCAGGGAGGGCTCTTGTGGGCTAGGGTTTCTATACTACCATCCTTAACCTCCCACAGGCTTCTTGTTAGGGTTGGGTTGCCCCTTTGAAGACCAAGTGTAGCTATGGAATGAGGGCTGAGAAAGGGGTCGGAGGGAGCTTGGAGAGTGGAGGAATGCTCAGAGTAGGGTCCTGAAAGACTGCTTGGAAGGCTGAGAAGAGCTCCCAGGGTCTCTGCTCCTTTGGGCCTATGAACCTCAGGGTTGTGTGTGTCCATCTCTCTGATTTCCCAAGGCGCCTTCTTGGCTTTGGCTGTGCCTGAGCTGCCCTACAGGGAAGATCCCGTCAAGGCGTTTTTCCCTAGATAGGAGCCCCCACACCATTTCTTTCTCTCGACCTCCTCCACTCTCCCATATGTGGAGTCCTGGGGAAGGGGCGGGCAGGAAGGTGCCTCCACCTCAGACCTGTCAGCATCCACACCTGTTGCTTCCTTTGCTGGTCCATTTCCCATCGTCGTCTGGGGGCGGGGATTGTGCTCCTGTCCTTGGTCCAGGCCCAGGGGCCAGCCGTGGCCTCCAGTGAGGCAGGCAGGCCCCTGTCAGCACTCGCACCATTCTTATTTTATTTCCCTGTGCTGTCTCAGGCAGGGAGGCCACACACAAACACCGGTCCTGTGCTCTCCCCACCCCAGAGACGGATACCTGCTCTCCTCTATGCCCATACTCTAGCCACCCTCTCCCTCTCTAGAGCTGCCACCCAAATCATGGGCCTGGTTCTCACCTCCCCTGGCTGCCTGTAGCCGAGCAGGAGTGGGCTGCCATCTGGCCCTGGCCCTTTGCCCCTAGATTGGCTGGCTTGGGGATGCCCATTGGTGGTGAAGCAGGTGCTGAGCTGGCCATGGAGGAGCCCAGCCAGAGGCCCACCCTGGGATATGAGGTGGGATGGTCTTTAGCACTACCCGCTCACTCCCCCCACCCCCGGCCTGGAAAAAAACTTCCTGGCACCTGCCCCAGATTCTATCTGCTGCCTTGGTGCTTGGGAGCCTGAGCCTGGCCCCTGGCCTGCCCTCCTGCCCAGCACCTGGTAACCTGGGCCCTGTCTGGGCCTTTCGGAGGATTGTTTGGATCCGGACTCCAGCCTAACACAGCAGGCAGCAACACAAGGGTGCGTTGCATTAAGAGCATTATGATGTAGAGGATAAGAGTGTGGGCCCCAGAGATTGCCTGAGCTTTAATCCCAGCCTTTCTCTAACTCTCTCTGACCTTGGGGACATCACATTCTCTCTCTGGTCCTTGGGTTTTCATTTGCAAAAGGAGCCAAATGCTACCGCTGCTACCTCATAAGATTGTAAAGATGAAATAAAGTGAGGCTAAGAAGCGTGCACAGAACATAGTAACCCAGTGTTAGCTATTGCCATTGGAGTCAGAAAACCCAGGTTCTCATCATGGCTCCACTGGCTGACCTTGAGCAGATCCCTCACCCTCTGCGTCTGTTTCCTTCTTTAAATGCGGGGTTATGCTCTCTCGCTGAGGGGGAGAATGTAGGTGGAAGTGGCCTTTTTTTGCGTTGTGAGTTGCTGTGCACGTGGGCAGTGTTATCATTAATTCTGAATTCTCAGTTCTTAAGGGCAGGGGCAGGCAATTTCTTAATTTGCTTACCTTTGCAGAGAGGGCAGACACTGAGGGTCAAACGGCTCAGCGCAGGGGGCCCTGGGCTTGAAACAGAGTGTCAGTCGTGGAGGCTAGCCTGTGCCAGGACATGCCGCTGGCTTCGAGGCCATGGGTGTGGGTGCAGCTGGGGAGGGGCTCTTGGATGGTCCACAGCCTCCCTCTCTGGGGCAGTGTGCCTCTGGGCATCATGAAGTTGTTGGCCCCACCTACTCTACCAGGAAGCGAGCCCTGCACCATCTCTGGAGGCATCTTGGTTTCTTTCCCCTTTTGGCCTGTCGGGGGTATCTTGGGGCTCTTGGGGAAGACAGAGGGGATATAGCTGGAAACAAAACGTGGAAAGGTAAAGCAAAACTTCCTGGTAACAATACAGTTCTGGCTGTAGATGAGGGCAGAGGGCTGGGGCTGGGGCTGGGGCTGGGGCTGGGGCTAGGGCCAGGGCAGCCTGCTCCCTGTTTCAGCTGGTGTCTGCAGTGTGTGAATCAAGTTCAGCTAGGCGTGTGGGCCCTGGAGGCTCACATGGATCTCTGCTGCCTACTCCTCACCCTGTCTCCCCTCAATGCAGTCCACCTGAGGAGAGACATGTCGGTAAGCCATGTCTTTACAGACATGGGATGGGATCAGTGGTTTTCCCATCCATGGCTCCCTCAGGCACAAGCCAAGGTGGAGGAGGGTCTGTCCCTCTCTGGGCAGAGCTGATGGGTGAGCTGCCTGGCCTGCTCAGGTGATGCAGAGGGACTGGGGCGGACCTGTCAGGGAATCACCACTGGGACATCAGGCTGCCTTTAGTAGCTCAGCCCTGTTTAGCTGGTGAGCGGAGATCCCCTAGAGTTGGTCTGACTCTGCCTCCTCATAGTGAGTAACCACGCAGGATACCCCCGCTTTCTCTGCTTGGGTAAGGGGCCTTCTTAACTATATCCCCCGGCACTCACATGGAAATGAGTTTGGATTTTCTGAGCACGCACCAGCTGGCTGGGGGGAGGCAGCCCAGAAGGCTGCTGGCTGGGGAAGGGGGAGAAGGGGGAAGCGTGGGGAGGGAGCCAAGCCGAGATGACAATTCCACCTTCTCTCAGCAGAGCAATGGTGGGGCGCCGAGTGCTCCCCGCGGTTCATCAGTCACCCACCCTAGGAGGAAGCATCCTGCTCCTGCTTAGCCTAGAGGGAGCCCTGTCCACTCAGGCCGGCCTACCCTCTGCGGACCGCAGCCTTCAAGGTCCAAACCACTGGGCTGGACAGTAGCGAGGTTGCCCGGCTATACACGTAGACGTGTCTGTGCTCAGAGGGGTCTTCCGACTTCTAGGCCAACCCTTTCACCGGCTGGAGGGAGTGGATCCGAGGCCCTGGGAGGCGACCGGCACTATCGCGGATCAGAGGAGGCCACAAGTCTGTCCGCCGGGGTTCTCCCGTGGAAGTGCCCGGGAGCGCGTGACGAAGGCTGGCCTGGTGGTGGGCACCGCGCCCCCCTCGGGGAGCCCGGAGGCGGAGGCGACCGAGGCTGCGAGGGGCGGGGGAGGGGCGGGGTGGGGTCATGCGTTTGACTCCGCCTCTTCGCGCTGGTATCAGTCTGTGCTCGGCTGCTGGCTCAGTCTCGGCTGCTGTGCTCGCCGCCCTGGTCGCTCCGGGACGGCGAGATGACACCGCCTCCGCCCGGATGCACCGCCCTCGGCGTCCTGCCCGCCCGCGTCCCCGGCCGGCCGCCTGGGCCCGGGCTCCCGCTGCGGCTGCTACTGCTGCTGCTCTGGGCGGCCGCCGACACCCACAGCCACCCGAGGACCGGACCCCGCATCTCTGCTGTCTGGACAGGTGGGTGGCGCCGCGCAACGGGCAGAGCGCGAGTCCGCGGGGTGGGTGCGGAGTGGGTGGCACCGGCGCGGGTGCGTGAGCGAGGCTCTGCGGGTCCCGGGCTGTCCTCGCGGGGAGCGTGCGGATCTGGGTGAGTGTGAGTGTGAGTGTGAGCGCGTGCTGACTGACACACTGGAGTGGCTGGACCGCTGCGGGGAGCTGGGGGCGGGGGTGGAGGGCTGAAGCCCCGGCTAAGTCACTGCAAGTGCGCCCACAGCTGGAAGCCGCAGCGCCGGGGGGCACAGGGTAAGGGAGCGGGGCCCCTCTCTCCACTCTGAGGCGCTCTCCGTTCTCCGGCTCTGGGCCACCGGTCAAGACCCTTTCTCCGGCTGGGACCTCCTCCCACGTCCCCTTTCCTGAGCTGCGGGCTCCGCGGTCGCACCGGGCGGGCTGGCCAGATGGGTGGGGGGCGTGGTCCACATACTTGCCCAGAAGCATAGATAACAAAATTAGCATGTTATAGGTGAGGAAAAAGGATTAGAAAGGTATTTATTCAAGGGCACCTACTTAGAAAATGAATTCAAATGCTGGGATGTGAATGCAGGTTTTCCTGGCTCAAGACCCCATGTTCTTGTCACTGGGCTGGCTGCTTCCTGCTTCGAAAGGTGAGAATTAACTCAGAGATGTCCCAGAGACAACCTTGACTCTTAGCTGATTATTCGCTTAAGATATTAAGAGTCCTTTTCTCGCCCCACCCCTTCTGCCTGAAGATTTTTTTAAGTTGATTTTTAGAGAGAGAGAGAGGAAAGGGGAGAAAGAGAAATATACATGCGTTTGTTGTTCCACTTATTGATATTCATTAGTTGATTCTTGTATGTGCCGTGACCAGGGATCGAACCCGCAACCTTAGCAAATCTGGACGATTCTCTTATCAGCTGAACTATCTAGCCAGAGCCTGGAGATTTATTTCAGAAACAAATGGACTTTTAATTGGGAGGTAAAAATAAACTTTTAGACCTGAAAAGAAACTGTTTTGTGATGGCATTTTAGACACTGTGTTCTTCCAAAAGGAAGCGCATTTCTATTTTTTCCCCTTTGCATTTTATTCATTTATTTTTTAATTTACATTCATTTTTATTGTATGTTTTCCCATTACCATTGCCCCCCCCCCCCCATACTGTCTCTCTCTTCTACCTCTAGGAAGCACATTTTTTTTATCTCCCACTAGATTAGCACTTGGAGAAGGAGAATCTGTCAGACCTTCCCTTCCCACCTAGATCTCTTTGGCGGTTCTCCGTGATGGGTCACACATCCCTTCAGGACCTCCTCAGCCTGCTGTTTGAGCCAGGGGTGTGTTCCCCAGGCTCCAGTCCCCCTCCCCGCCCCAAAAAAAGACTTGCTCGTCTTTCAGAGCGCCTCATTTTAGGCCTCCCTGCCTTTCCATGTGTTTTCACTTAAGCTTGGACTACCTTCTCTCCCTAGTAATCATCAGCTCCACCTTGAATACCCTCTCAAATGATTTCTCCTGGGAGACAGCTCTTTGTCCTAGCTGTCCCTGTTAGTAATGGCTGTCGGCTTCCTGTTCCTTGTGCTCTAGCTGGGATCCCCGCCTCAGCTGAGGTCCTCAGCGTGGTGTTTGGTAATTTGTTTGATCTAGTCTTGTTTCTCCTGCTGTCCTAAGAGTTCCTCGATGTCAGGGACCCTTATGTTTTGCATTCTTGTGCCTTGCCCAAAACCAGGCATGGAGTAAATGCTTAGTATGTGTTTGTTGAGTGAATGAAGCAGGCGATTTGCTTAAGGTGAGTATTTTTCAGGAGAGGTAATCCTCACAATTAGGATAGGTGAGGATGTGGTTCCACATGGAGCCACGGGGGGGTGCCATGCGCCGTGCTTTGAGAGTGGTGCTCCTGGAGTGAGTTGGGCAGTACACAGTCTATAGGATCACAAGTGGCCATTGTAGGTGAGGGTAACCACACTTTTAAAAGTGTGACCCAGGGTGAACTGCTTACCTGCTCCCCCTTCTTTAACCCACATTTGTTCACCTATGAAATGGGCTGATGTCCTAGGTAGTAGAGCAACTAAGGAAAACTAAGACAACTGCTAAACTTTCTTGTATATACGCGTCGTGCGCACGCGCACGCACATACATACATATTAGTTTCCAAAAATCAAAAAGGAACTTTGAGTCCCAGTGAAACCCTTGATATCGTGCATGTGATGAAAGTTTATTTAAGAACACTAGGAGTACATGTGTTTCCTGGTCCCTCTTGTATTTTTTTTTTTTAATTAAAAATAATATTAAGAAAGTCCGAAAGAAAATATTAAAGAGAAAACGATTACCCTGGATCCTGCCACCCTACTAAGTGCTGTCCTGTTCTTTGTCTCTCCCCGCGCCCCACCTTGGACCACATGCACACTGGCACGTTTTACGTGGTTTTATTAAATAATGCACACACAACTCTGTGTTCTATTTCTTTTAACATATTGTGTCTATGTAGCCTCATGTTGTTCAGATGGCTTGCAGCACTTAGTACTTTAAATCACTGTATAAAAATCTACTGAGTTGGTTATACCTTCCTCCTTTTCAAATGTGAGAAGTCTAAAATTCTTGCAGTGGGATGTTGATCAGAGCAGTCTCTTTCATGTGATAAGATCCTCTCTGCTGGAACTGGACTTTGATTATCTTTGATAGCCTGAGGATGCTTAGAAGAGTGCATTTTTCACATCTGTGTTATAAATGGGTTTTTCTGAGTGGGCGCTCACATTGTTAGTGGGGTGATGAGGGAGGGGACCTGCAGGCCAAGCTGCACCTGGCCACATGCTGAAATGATGTTTTGTGTCTGCAGCATGGGCAGGGCCTGGGCTGTAGGGTAACTGTGTGTCTTGTCCCCAGAACCTGTGGACAAAGTGGCTGCCCTGCGGGAGTTCCGGGTGCTGCACACTGCCTTGCACAGCAGCTCCTCCTACCGGGAGGCGGTGAGTGTGTGCTGTGCAGCCCCCTGCCTGAGACTCACCAGACCTGCAGGAGAGTGTGAATGCTGGAGAGTGGTGTAGAGTGGGAGCTGGGAGCCCGTTGCCATGGCCACCAAGAGTTCCTCGGGGAGTTTTTGCCCTGTCTGTGGGTCTCAGTAGAGCCCTGTCTTCCCCCAAGGAGGCTGTCTCAGCTAGGTAGTGTCGATTCCATCTAGAGATAATGATACAACCTCTTCTGGTATTGGCCTCACAGAATGAATATGATTACAGCCAAAGGATCCACATATGGTCTCCCCTGGGCCTCGTTCTTGGAATTTGGCTGAACTGCCTGCCCACTGCCCCTCACCTGGGTTTCCTCACTGCGAGATGCACTGGTGTCTTTCTGTAGGAGAGTTGATAAGCAAAATTGATACAGCTGCAAACTTCCCGATATATATGGCTATGAAATGATAGTCGTATGGAGATTAGAAAGGACTTTTGGGACCTAGAGAAACCTTTGTTATTGGCTTGTAACAGAGCTTTTATTTTGGAAGCTTTAGAGGTATAGATGGGGGAAGGACTAGAGATTGACGGTTTGCTATGATAATGCCTTTTAAAGAAAAAAAAATTGTTTCCCCTCCCGTAAGCCACGATCTCTGAGAAGAAAGAGGTTCATCTGATTCCGGGGACTGTTGTTTTGTTGTGGTGTATGTGCAGGCACTCAGAGGGAGCAAGTACTTAAGCAGAGTGTGGAAACCCGCTGAGTGCATTGAGCTCAGCCCTCCCCATTTCTCCTGCAGGTCTTTAAGATGCTCAGCAATAAGGAGTCTCTGGATCAGATCATTGTGGCCACCCCAGGCCTCAGCAGTGACCCCATTGCTCTCGGTAGGTACAGGGCTGAACTTGAGGAAGTAGCTGTGGGAAAAGCAGAAACCAGAAGAAGGCGGTCACCCTAAAGAGACTCTGACCGTCTTTTGAAGAATCACTGGTCTTGCTGGGGGGAGAGGGGAGAACCAAGACGCGTTCCGCATACCTAGCCCTCCAAGAGCTGTCAGCCCCTCAGCCTAACTAACATCATAAATGAAACTGTGAGGATGAAACTGTGAGGATGGTTTGGGCAGCAGTTAGCCCAAACCATAGCAATCAGGGAAGACTTCTTGCACACCTTGGTGGATCAGGCAAGAGCCTGGAGGTAACGGGAAAAGAGGCTGGCGTGTTGGTGCCCAGTATGTGACTTAACTGCAGGGCAAGGTGGTGAGCAGAGAACAAGATGGAGAGCACTCTGTTGTGCTGCTTGGTGCTTTGTTTCTTCCACTTCTTACATGGGGTGCTTTGTGGTCCTGTGTCCCCGCTGAGCTGGTTGCCCTGAGGCCTAACACTTCTTCTCCCTCCTGGATCTGGCTAGGTTTCAGTCTCTGAGGTGAGTCCTGTTCTCCTTAGGGGTTCTCCAGGACAAGGACCTTTTCTCTGTCTTTGCTGATCCCAACATGCTTGATACGTAAGTATACCCATTTTATTGAAGAGTACCCTATCTCTCCTCATACAGTCGGTCCAGAGCCTAAGGGTTGCCCTGCATTGGGCTCTTGGAGCCCAGTTCTTGACTGCCCCCAAGTCTACCTTCTGAATGTGTCAGGAGGTGAGAAGGAGCAGGGAGCTATGGGGGAGCGACAAACCCAAGGGCAGGAACACATATTGCTGTGGAGGTGAAGCAGGGTCTGAGGGAGGTGGCCCTGTGGGCTGGGCTCAGTTTAGTTCTCATGCGATAGCTATGAAGGATCCTTCGAAGGATGTGAAGCTGGGGAAGGAAGCAGGTGCATAGATCCTTATTGTTTTAGAGCTGGACGGGACAGCAGAGGTTTTGTCTCTTATTTTGCAAGCGAAGAAAAAAGCTCTCCCCACCCTCGCCCCCTCAAAGGGAAGAGAGGGGACCTGGGAAGCAGTGGCAGAGTCGAGACCAAAGACTGATCCCTGAGCCTCTCAGGCAGTCCTATCCCATAATGCCGAGGGGAAGGGGGAAGCGTTTACAATGGACCCCAGGACTGAAGGCCTTGACGCTGTGGCTAGGGGCAGAGCAGAGGAGGACAAAGCCAGCTGGAAGGAGGTGCTGGAGACCGAGGATTTTAAAGGCAGGCTCAGGGGGCTTTTGTTTGTTGATATTTCTGAGGGCCACCCAGGCTTTTGTCATGGCAGGCGTGCTCTTTCTTATTCACCCTTGGGTTTCTTCCTGCCCCTGTTCCAGGTTGGTACCTGCTCATCCGGCCCTAGTCAATGCCATTGTCCTGGTTTTGCACTCGGTGGCCGGCAGCACGCCGCTACCGGGGGCTGACTCCTCTTCCCGGAGCACGCCCTCCAGCTCCTACCGGGACATGCCAGGTGAGTCCCAGGAGAGTGCCGTGCAGGCCCCCTCCGGAGCCGGCAGTGGCCCAGGAAAATGCTTTACTCAGCAGCTATGTATAGCGCTGGCAGAGGGTGTTCCTCGGGAACTCTCGGTTTGAGTCAGGGAGTGCATCTGTCCTGTAATTTTCCAAGAGAAGAAATGAAAATATGAATTTGGAGAGTATCTGAGCTGAGATTCTGGAGCTGCGCCTGTGCCTTTCTGTTCTTCCTCCTGAAATCTGTTCTGTCTCCTCCAGGTGGCTTCCTCTTTGAAGGGCTCTCTGACGATGAGGATGACTTTCACCCAGTAAGTGGCCTGGCTGCCTGCCCTCTGGGGAATGTGGTCCCAGGGCCGCTCCCCTCCCTGGGACCTGGAGCCCAAGCTGTGAGGTGGTGACAGGCCCTTTGGTGTCCACATCTGTGCTATACTATTGCTTTCTGAACCTGGCAGCTTGAGGAGTCTCCCCAAGAACTGTACAAGGAACGGGGGCGGGGTTATCTGGGACCGTCACAGGGCCACTTTCCTGATTCTGGGTGCCTCCCTTCTCCAGAGGGCCAGGTCCACGCCCTCTAGCAGCACCCCCAGCTCCCGCCCGGCCTCCCTGGGGTACAGTGGAGCTGCTGGACCCCGGCCCATCACCCAGAGCGAGCTGGCCACTGCCCTGGCCCTGGCCAGCACTCCAGAGAGCAGCTCTCACACACCGACTCCAGGCACCCAGGTATGGAGAGGGGGGCAAGAAGAGGGAGGCTGGGATCCCAGGGGGAGAAGCTCCCCAACGGTGGGGTGGATTTGCCCTTGCTGACCCTGGTATCTGGTTTGAGCTGAACTCTGCCTGAATCCTCGCGGGGTTTCTCACTCTGCGACCTTTCTCTCACTCGCCTTTAGGGCACAGAAGTCCAGGGTGTAGCACAGTCTTGACTGATTCCTCCTCCTGAGTAAGTCAGGAGAACCTTCCCTCCCATTAAGTGCGCTTCCCCATCCCTGACACATTAAGGGCCCAGCCCTCAATAGCTTAAGCATTTCTAGTGATTTCCGGTCACGCCAGCTTCCGGTGCTAGGGTCCTAGGCTAGGTCAGCGGCTCGACTCCATTTCCCTGGAGCGGAAGAGAATGGAGCCTTTCCTGCCCGCCTGATGAGCCTTTAGGTACCTACCTCTGTGTGGTTGTCTCAGGCAGGCCCCAGTTGGAGGTGGTAGTTGGGCGTGCCGGGGGCACCGTGGGGTGATGTGACAGCAGTGTCTATGTGCCGGGAGATTGAGATGGCCCTGAGGGCGGCCCTGACCACTGGTTTGTCTCACTAGGGCCATTCCTCTGGGACCTCACCAATGTCCTCTGGTGTCCAGTCAGGGACACCCATCACCAATGACCTCTTCAGCCAAGCCCTACAGCATGCCCTGCAGGCCTCTGGGCAGCCCAGCCTTCAGGTCAGTCTTCCCCACTCCTGGTGCCCGTGCGGCTTTCCTGGTTACTTTGGATACCGAGCTTTCTTCTGCTCTCTGGGGGCCTTCCCACTTGGCGTGCTTCACTCTAGGAACAGCAGGGGCGTGGCAGTGTAACAGGAGGATGCTCACCGCAAGGGCAGTAATCCCTGTGACTTCCACTCCTGCACCCAGTGACGGTGGCCTGGCTGCGCTGACCTCCTGGCTTACAAAACTGACTTACGGCAGTTTTGGTCCATTCATTCCGTCATTCCGCGAGTGCTACCTGAGCACCGAGCATGTTATACTGAGCTTGGGGCTGGGTCCGGTTCCTGGGCTAGAGATGAGCCGTCCTCATTCCTGCCAGAGGGGCGTCAGGCAGTTAGCTACTGAACTTGAGGAGCAACGGGGCTAGAAGCCTGGCCCAGGATTGAGGTGCGGGTATAGGTCAGACAGAACTTCTAAAGAAGGGATGTTTAAGCTGATTGTCAAAGAATGAGTTAGAGGTTGGGCAGGCAGCGAAGGGGTTGTTTGGGGTGGAGGGTTGGTGTCCAGGCACGTGCGGAGGGGCATGTGACATTCTGAGGACTGCAAGGCTCAAGGCAGCGTCCTCGTGGAGAAGACCCTGAGATGTGGAGCCGGAGAGAAAGAGAGCAGGTGCCCGCCTGCATGTGCGGAGCAGAGGGCCTGGGCAGCGTGGTCACTAAGGGAGCCGTGGCGGGTTAAGCGGGAGTGACACCATCCGTTCCGCTTCATGGCACGCTCACCTTAGCAGCCAAGCGGAAGACCCACGGTCTCTGTGCGCAGCTGTCTGCTTCCCTGTTTCCCTCACTGCTCACAGGAAGCGTGGGGCCGAGCGTCATCTCTGGAACTTGCCAGAGTCAGTAAGCCAGGATATGGTAGAGACCGGGTTTAAACCCGTGTGGTTTTGTCTACCCCATGTGGCCCAGGTGGACAGTGAGGGGATTGGGAGCAGTGCCTGTGGACAGCTTGTCTTTTTTCGTTTCTTCATCTTAGCCGGACGCCTGTTCACCTTGTTCTCCAGCTCAGGAGCTTTCGGTGGTTCCACCAGGCCTATAAACTGAGTCAGAGTTGGTCGTGTGGTTTTCTTAAAAGCCCTCCACACCCTCCCCTTCCTGCCTGCGTGAATTTACATTCCTTCCCCATTGCCTTCTCCTTTCCGCAGTGCGAGCACATCATTTCCCCTAAGTTGTACGCTTACCTACTTCATGAGATAGAGAGACTGACGAAGTTTTGAAGGTACTAAAAGAAAATATGGGTTAATTGCTTTAAACCCTTACAGTTGCGAAGGCTTTTTATAACTGAAAGTCAAAATCCAGGGGCCGTTGTCGAAAAAGTAATATATTTTGAGTTTGTAAAAGTGAAAATTTATGTGTATCAATCCAAACAAATAAGGAAAAAAGAAAACAGGCAAAGTCTGAATGCTAACAACAAAAACATTTTTCGTAAAAAGGAGAGAAGCCATGAACTGACTATTCATGGAAGTGCAGTACCGATGGCCCCCAGACCATGTACGTCCTCACAGTCCCATTTCTCAGAATTTGTCCTGGACGTGTTTGTGCTCAAAGAAAATGACACCTGTACGGAGTTGGTCGCTGCAGTGTTGTTCCAATGGCAAAAGATTGGAACTAGCCCAATTATGGTACATTTCAGGACATCCACGGTGCTAAAACATGTCATGGTTATTAAAAAGGCCTTCAAGTACTGGCATAGAGAGATGTCCAGGCTACACTGAGAGCGTTAAAGAAAAAAGAAGAGGGGTATAGACGAAGAGGAGGAACACGACAAAAGTGTAAATACAGTAACGTGTTTGTCTTCTCAAAATAAAATTGGTCATCCAGGTTGGGGATGAGAGTGGATGCAAGGAAGACGTTTTTGCTATTTATCATGCTCGAAACCAGAACTAAGCAAAAATCTTATCCTCCTCACCCTTTTTGTTATGTGCGCGCGTCTGCGTGTGTGTATGTCTGTTCCTACACATAGTAGGAGGAAGAAAGTAGTCTTTTGAACGTCAGACGTTGAGTAATTTGCTTTTTTCTTTGATTCTTATGTTAAAATTTTCTTTTTTAAAAAATTGGATAAACTTTTAATTTGTTCTTTAAACCCTGAGTCTCTCTTGTAGTCTTCCTAGAGATCCTATGTTGTGTGGAACTTCAAATCAGCGAGTTTGCGGTAGGACAGACCCACCCTTTTCTCTCCCCTCAAAGGACAGACCTAAGCGCGTCTCCGTAGGATCCCATCTAACAGCTTTTCCCTGGTCCTGTCTTTCTGCAGAGCCAGTGGCAGCCTCAGCTGCAGCAGCTGCGCGACATGGGCATTCAGGATGATGAGCTGAGCCTGCGGGCCCTTCAGGCCACTGGCGGGGACATCCAAGCAGCTCTGGAGCTCATCTTTGCCGGAGGAGCCCCATGAACTCCCCGCTCCTCCTGACCCCCAACAAACTGCCAAGGTGTCTGCCCACGGGAGGCACTCCTGGAGGTGCCCCATCTCTCCTTTACCCAATACACCTGACGGTTGACCTTCACTTTGTCCAGTGCCTGGCCTTTCTGGCTGATCCGCGCTGGTGGGGGCAGTGGGGCAAGTGTGGTGTGTGGGTCTCGGTGCTGTGACATCGGGGAGCATGACTGGCTCTTGCTGCTGGGCCGTGGCTGGAGAATGTTAGTCCCATGTGATGGGGTATGGCATATGAGTATCTGTTTCTTCTCTTCGACCCAGAAATGAAAATGGACAAAGAAATTACTACCTTTACAGCTGAAGATTTGCTTCAGAAGCGTTTGAAGGGCCTATTTTATGCAAGGCCTTATTCCAGGAGCTGTGTAAATGTGAGAATGAATCATATACAAGGACTTCATCACTAGGAAGAAGTATGGCCATGCATGAATTTTTTCACGAATAATTTTAATACCAGATAAAATATGAAATAAACCCTTTTCTGTGCCTTCAGAGCATCCTGTAGTTCTCTCGATTATTGTATGTGTTTCACTGTTTTGTCATTAGCTTCCTTTTTCTTTCTCCCACACTCTGGTAGATTGTGTTGATGGCCCAATTCATCATCCTCCCTGTTGCCAAGCCCTTTATGACATAACCGCAGTGCCTGCCCACTATGAATGGAACCTGCCCGCCCTTCATTCTAGCTGCCACCATGTGACCTGCTTTGGCCAACAGAATGTTAGCATTTGTGGTGGAAGCAGAGACTTGAAATGGACTTGGATTTGGGCGCTTCCCTTTTGCACTTCTGCTGTAATAAGGAGAACATGCCTGAGCTAGCTTTTGAAGACAGGCGCATGTGGCAGAGCTGATTCTCTTGAACCACCCTAGCAGAAGCCAGCCTAGGTTAGCTATCTGGCAGACGTGAGTGAGCACAGCCATAACAATGTCTACAAATATATCTGCACAACTTGATGAATTTTCACAAAGTGAGCACATGTATATAATCACTAGATAAAAAACTAGAACATTACTAACATTTCAGAAGCACCTTGGATGCCCTTCCCAGTCATTACCCACCGACTCCTCCAAAGGTAACTGTTATCTTGGTAATCTAACACCGTAGGTTAGTTATTGTCTGCTATTGTACTTCCAAATGGAATCATACCATATATAGTCTTTTGTGTCTGGTTTCTTTCATTAAAGATTATATTAATGAGTCTTCAGGTTATTGCGAAGAGAAGTAGTTTCTTTTTATTGCTGTACAGTATAGCATAGGACGGGTATAACACAATGTCATTAATTCTATATTCATGTATATTTGGGTTATTTCCCAATTAGAACTATTGGAAGTAACGTGACAATGCATATTCTTATATTTCATGAGCATATGTATACTTTCTGTTGTATACATTGTTAAGGGTTGAACTGCCAGGATATAGGATATGTTCAGCTAATACATATTGACAAACAGGCTTCCCAAATACCTGTACCAATATACACTCCCAGCAGAAATGTATAGGAGTCCTATTTTCTCCACATCCTTGTCAACTCTTAGTTTTGTCAGTCTTTTTAATGTATTCTGATAGGTGTATACTAGCATCTTATTTTTGTTTTAAGTTATACATTATGACTAATGAGCATGAGTACATTTTCTGTTTTTCATAATTGAGATTTTATTTGTTGTTTTAGGATAAGTGTGCAATCATTTTGTTTGTCCACAATCCATAGCATATATACCAAAAACCTAAAAAGTTATGTAGTTGGGATTCTTTTCTAAACCACCCTAGCAGAAGCCAGCCTAGGTTAGCTATCTATCAGACATGTGAGTGAGCACAGCCAAAACAATGTCTACAAATATATTTATACAACTTGTTATTCCAGTGACTTTCCAGCTTAAATTTGAGAGGCTAATTTTCCTTACCAGAGTATCAAATATCAATATCTTTGAGTGCTGAATCACTATTATATCAAAGTCCCACTAATTCACAATTTAATATCATATACACTACATAATCAAATTTTGAATCTTTCACAGCAGATTAATAAAGTTACGAGGAAAACTTGACTACCACAACAAAGATATTAGAGAGTGCACAAAATTCTGATGGAGCCAAGGTCAAGGAGAGGTTTTCTTTAGGAAATGATTCTACCAAAAACACAGGAATAGAAGTAACTTAAAATGTTTTCACATGTTTCTTCTTTTCTTCCCTGGAACCAGATACTAACTTGAACCTTCAAGAAAGAAGGAAAAGTATCAGAAATGATAAATATATGAATAATTGTCAAAGACTACTTTTTCTTGGTTTCATTAGAATATATATGGCTATTTAAAAATAATGTGGACTTTTTCCCTTTCTATGCTCTGGAACATTCTAAGTAGCTTTGAATGTTTGCTAGATTCTCCTATGAATTCATCTGGGCCTGTGACTTTTTGAGGAGTAATTATTTACCAAGTTTTGCCATGTATAATGTGCACCCATGTTTTAGTATGCATTATACACAGGATTATATTATCATTATACCCATGTATATTGTGCATCCTTATTTTTCCCATAAAAAGTGAGGCAAAAAGTGCACATTATGCATGGCAAAATACAGTAATCTGTTTACATTTTTAAAAAGATTTTACTTGCCCTGGCTGGTGTGGCTCAGTGGATTGAGTGCTGGCTTGCGAACCAAGGGGTCACTGGTTTGATTCCCACTCAGGACACATGCCTGGGTTGCAGACCAGGTCCTCAGTAGGGGGTGTACAAGAGGAAACCACATATTGATGTTTCCCTCCTCCTCTCCCTCCCTTCCCTTCCGTCTAAAAAAATAAATATATAAACTCTTTAAAAAAAAGATTTTACTTATTTTCAGAGAGAGAGGTGTAGGGAGGGAGAGAGGGAGAGAATCATCAATTGGTTGCCTCTTGGATGCCCCTAAATGGGGACCTGGCCCATAACCCAGGTATATGTCCTGACAGGAATCGAACCAGTGACCTTTTGGTTTGCAGTCTGGCACTCAGTCCACTGAACCACACCAGCCAGGACTACATTTTTATATTTAATAGTGATGTAGGCATTTCAGGGGTCTGGGGCCCAAGGGTCCACCCTGGGTTCTTAATTTCAAGTGGGAAACAAACAAAATTTGAGACATAGAATTTAAAGTAAAAGTGAGTTTATTAGTGAGGCAGTGAGATAGAGAGTGGGCTACTCCACAGATAGTGCAGCCCTCTGTAGCATAATTTGCTTCCTTTATTGATGTTAATTTAATCTGGGGATAGCATACTCAATAATGGAGAGGAATATTCAGGATATTTTTGGGAAAGGGGTCGAGATTTCTCAGGTGAGCTTTGTAGGCCACTTTGTGTGCTTATGTGGGCTTTTCCAATCATGAGGGTGTAAGGTGTGTCATTTACATGCTAATGTATTACAATGAGTGTATAAATAGGCTAGAGGTTACTATTAGGTGAAATTAGTAGCCATGTTGGGTTGAGCTGGTTGCTCCTGCTTTAAGCCATAAATCCAGTAGTGGGTGGGCTGATTTCCTTGTTGACAGTTCCTATAGCTTTTTCTTTTTTTAAAATTAAAGTGATTGCATTTATTTTGTATTTCTTTTTAGAGAAGGGAAGGGAGGGAGAAAGAAAAGGAGAGAAACATCAATGTGTGGTTGCATCTTGTGTGCTCCGTACTAGGGACCTGGCCTACAACGCAGGCAATGTACCCTACACTGGGAATAGAACCAGCGGCCCTTTGGTTTGCAGGTCGGTACTCAATCCACCTTAGCTGAGCCACACCAGCTAAGGTCCTGTGGAGCTTTTTTTCAATTGCAGCTGTTTCACTGCATATACTATCTCACTAGAGCCAAACTGAATAAATAACATTTCCTAGGAAAATATCTATTTAACTTAGCTTTTCAAATATGTTTGTCTAGATTTTTGAAAAGTAGTATCATAATATTTTTAAAATTTTCCTCTGTCATTTCTTCTCTTACATTTTCATTTTCCTTGTTGTTCTTGATTAGATTAGCTATGGTTTTCAGTTGGTTGATATTTTTTCTTTTTTTAAAGTATATTTTATTGATTATGCTATTACAGTTGTCCCATTTCTTTCCTCCAATTTTATCTCCTTGCCCTGCAGCCCCCTCCCTACAGCATTCCCCTCTCTTAGTTTATGTCATGGGTTGTACATATAAATTCTTTGGCTTCTCCATTTCCTATAGTATTCTTAACTGTCTATTTTGTACCTACCAGTTATGCCTCTTATTCCCTGTACCTTTTCTCCCGTTCTCCCCCCTCCTCCTCCCTGCTGATAACCCTCCATGTGATCTCCATTTCTGTGATTCTGTTCCTGTTCTACTTGTTTGCTTACTTTGTTTTGTTTTGTTTAGGTTCAGTTGTAGATAGTTATGAGTTTGTTGTCATTTCACTGTTCATAGTTTTGATCTTCTTTTTCTTAGATAAGTCCCTTTAACATTTCATATAAGGGCTTGGAGATAGTGAAATCCTTGAACTTGACCTTATCTGGGAAGCACTTTATCTGCCCTTCCATTCTAAATGAGAGCTTTGTTAGATAGAGTAATCTTGGATGTAGGCCCTTGTCTTCCATGACTTCAAATACTTCTTTCCTGCCCCTTCTTGCCTGTAAGGTTTCTTTTGATAAATCAGCGGATAGTCCTATGGGAACTCCTTTGTAAGTAACTGTCTCCTTTTCTCTTGTTGTTTTTAAGGTTCTCTCCTTATCTTTAATCTTGGGTAATGTAATTATGATGTGTCTTGGTGTGTTCCTCCTTGGATCCAATGTCTTTGGGACTCTCTGAGCTTCCTGGACTTGAATGTCTATTTCCTTCCCAAGATTGGGGGAATTTTCCTGCATTATTTTTTAAAATAACTTTTCAATGTCTTGTTCTTGCTCTTCTCCTGGCACCCCTATAATTTCGATGTTGCATTATTTAAAGTTGTCCCAGAGGTTTCTAAGCCTCTCCTCAGTTTTTGAATTATTTTTTCTTCATTCTGTTCTGGTTGAATGTTTATCTCTTCCTTCTGCTCCAAATCGTTGATTTGAGTCCTGGTTTCCTTCCCTTTACTGTTGGTTGCCAGTATATTTTTCTTTATTTCACTTTGCATAGCCTTCATTTCTTCCTCTCTTTTGCAACCATACTCAGTCATTTCTGTGAGCACCCTGATTACCAGTGTTTTTGAACTCTGCATCTGATAGGTTGTCTATCATCTCATAAATTAGTTTTTTTAAAGATTTTATTTATGTATTTTTAGAGAGCGTGGAAGGGAGGGAAAAAGAGAGGTAGAGATATATCAGTATGTGGTTGCCTCTCATGCACCCCCCACTGGAGACATGGCCCACAATCCAGGCATGTGCCCTGACTAAGAATCAAACCAATGATCCTTTGGTTCACAGGCCAGCATTCAATCCACTGAGCCACACCAGCCAGGGCCATAACTTAGTTCTTTCTCCAGAGTTTTGATCTGTTCTTTCATTTGGGCCATATTTCT